TAACCACTTTTTGATATCTTTCAAAAGAAGTGAGATATATAGGCTCAAAGTGGACGATCCGGGTGTCGTTCTATTAGAGGTTTTACGGTACCTACCAATTAATCTTCCACAATTTTCATTCCCATTATCATCGCTGATGTCCCAAATGAAAAAATGCACATTGTCCAAATGTACAAAAATGTTTCACACCTAAGTCTATCATTTCTGGGTGTTAATTCTGCACACCAATTGAGAAATATTTTAAACATCCCTAACAAAATTATGAAAATCACAAAAACGTATAAAACATTTTTCAAACATTCCCAAACATTGGAATTTGGCGACAGAAAAGGGAACATTTTGAATGAGAAGTAGATTAGATTAAGAAGATTCACTAATTGGGCAATTGAGGAGACTGACTTGAATAGGGGCAATTTTAGGCTCATTTTTCAGATTTTTCAACAATAAAAATTGTTTTTTTTTAAATAATTTTGTTTATGCCAAAAACAAAAATTTCAGACTTTTGAGTAAACTCTGACTAAGCCCCGCCCCTTTTTGTTGAAAGCAGAAATGACATCATAAAGTGTCAGGTCAATTTCTCCACGAAGTTTTCGGCCAAAATCAATGAAAAAATAGATTCTCCGACCGTCAAAAACCCTTAAAAACCCCGAAAATTTATTAAAAACCAAGAAAATCGAGGTTTTTCAAATATTGTGTCAGGTGGCCAAGTGTTTTTTTGGGCATGAAAATTTAGTAACCTCAACACCAGGGTTCGATTCCTCCCGGCGTCAAACTTTTTTTCTTTTGTGTAAAGCAGGAAGTAGGGGTTCTAGAGGCTTCTAGAAGCCTAAAATACCGGAATTGTGATATTTTGGAAAATTTAAAGGCGCATGACCCTTTGAAAAAAAAAACGAAATACAACCAAATATAGGCTTGTGGGGGCTCATTTTGAAGCTCTCAGCGGCATTAGTTCAATTTTCAAAGTTTTGAACGTCTAGGACTACTGTAGAAACGCCAAAAACCCAAAAAGAAAAGCTTACCACTTCCGTTTCCATATACTTATAACCAATTATCATCATAACTGTCCCAAATCCAAAAATTGCCAAACTCCAATAAATTAAAAAATATTTACTTATAATTAACTCATGGTTGACTATTTCTCTGTATTTAATCCAATTAAAATATATTTGAAAAATCCAAAATGCAATTAGAAAAGTCACAAAAACATATAGAAAATTTTCCAAAAAATATGCATTTGGCATCAAAAGGAAAACTCGAATTAAATAATAAATTAGAAGAAGAAAATTTGCTAATTGGGCAATTGAGGAGGCGGACTTAATTAGGGGCAATTTTAAACACATTTTCTCCGATTTTTTTTTGGAAAATTTCGAAAGAAAAATGAAAAATAACTATCTGGAAAAATAAATCTTGTTTATGCCTAAAACAGTAATTATAGGCTTTCTAGAAAACTCTAAGAAAAAAAATTCGTCATTTTTTGCCGAAATTATAGGATGCACGACTTTTTGGAAGGACAATAATGTGGGCGTTTTTCAAAAATTTTTGAAATTTAGAAATTTCAAAATTTTTAGAATAATTACATATTTCAGAAAATTTTTTGGAGGGAATTCGAAAATTTTAAACACAAGGAAGCCAACGTACACCTGGCTGAGCGCCGCCCACTTTTCCCATAGCAAACTTCGCACCCTTATTTGACGGAGGATCCAAACACTATAAAAATGACATTTTCGACCAGAATAAGTATGAAAATCAGCTCTAGGACCCTTAAAAACCTAAGAAATCTCTAAAAAACGATGAAAATCAACATTTTTCAAAAATTTGCACTGATGGCCTAGTGGATTTTTGGACACGAAAATTTAGGAATCCCAACACCAGGGTTCGATTCCACTTGGCGTCAAACTTTTTTTGCTTTTGTGTAAAACAAGAATTAGGGCTTTGTCAAAGCTTTCAGAACGGTTTTTTTTTCAAATTTTAAGGCTTTTGGAAAAGTGAAAATTCCGAAAAATCGATTTTCAGAAAAAAAGACGGCCAAAATAATGTTTTCAGATGAATTCACTGTGAAAAACAGCTCTGGGACCCTCTAAAACCTACAAAACCTCACAAATTTGATGAAAATCGGGGGTTTCTAAAAATTTGGTCAGGTGGCAAGTGGATTTTNGGACATGGAAATAACNAATCTCAACACCANGGTTCNATTCCACTTGATGCTAAATTTTTTTTGTTTTTGTGTAAAGCAAGATTTAGGGGTTCTAGAACCTTCTAAACACTTGGAATGTCGAAAATTCTGAAATTTTTGGGATCAAATTTTTTTCAAAAATTCGAAAAATCATAAATCAAGCATCTACAAGCTTCCAGAACCTCTAAATCTTGGTCTACACAAAAGCAAAAAACGTTTGACGCCAAGTGGAATCGAACCCCGGTGTTGAGATTCCTAGATTTGCATGCCCAAAAATCCACTAGGCCATCGGACCAAATTTTTGGAAAAACATCGATTTTTACGATTTTCAATGAATTTGAGGCGCTTTTATAGGTTTTTAATAGTCCCACAGCTGATTTGACCTAATTTTTGGAAAACCTCGATTTTTATGGATTTTCATGAACTTTCAGCGGTTCTATAGGTTTTCAAGGGTCCCAGAGCTGAATTCCGTGTTTATTTTGTCCAAAAACCTTTGTTTTTAACCGCTTTTTCAGATTTTTCGCAGAAAAATCTGAAAATCCTAATTCAACGATTTTTCTAGATCTTTTTGTTTTAATTTTTGAATAATTATCTGATTTATTTATGAATATATACACAGTTTAGGGTTAGGGGAATTTGAAATTTAAATAAAAAAAATTGTTTTTTGAAAAAAAAATCAGGGAAATACAAGAAACAAAGTGAGTATATAGGCGAGAACATAGATGTGAGAGAAATGGGTCTTGAATTGAAAAAAAAAAATCAATAATTGAATTATCGATTTTTTTTAATTTCCAGATCCAGGAGAAAAAAAAAACAGAGGTAATATGTGCGTGTGTGTTGAAAAGGGGGCGGAGCTTAAAAGAATATTACAGTAAGAAAAGTTTGGGGAAAACCCGGATTTTTGATGGGGGATTTTCCGTAATAAATAGAATATTTCTTGAATTAATTTTCGCGAGAAACAAAAAAAAAGCGGGCGGGGCTTATTTCTGAAAGACCTAATGGCTAGAATTTTTATTCTGGAATCATTGGGATGCGGCGGGGCGTTTGTGAGGATATGGTCATTTTTTGAGACAAACAAAGAGATTTTTGAGAGACATAAATTATAATTTTTGGGAATTTTATAAATTGGAATTTTTGAAAAAAAAAATTCTGAAAATTTTTTTTTTCAAAAATTTTAAAATTCTGAAAAAAAAATCTGAAACAAACAAAAAATATTATGAAGTTAGAGAAAGAAGATTATTTTTTAAAAAAATGAAAAGGGGGCGGAGCCTAATTTTCAGGGATGCTCCTCGATGAGACGTTCTGTTTCGCCAAATGCCGTACGGCCGTTTCCACGATGAGGGGGTCCATGGTGACCATGATGATGGTAGCCGGTGTTTCCATTTTTCTGAAAAAATTGAATTTTTGAATTTTCAGCCAAAAACATTGTTTTTTCTAAAAACTTTTTTCCAATTTTTTTTTTCGGAAAGTGCTCTAAAATAAATTTCTGAGCTTAAAAAATAGGGCCCACTTTTTTGGTTTTAGTGTGGACCATTTTTAGGCTAATGGAGAAGGTCCTAGAGCTCAAATTTTAAGATTTTCAGACAAAATCTGAAAATTTCAGACAAAAAAAATTAGCAAAAATTTTTTTTTCGTTTTAAAACTATTTTTTGGCCCACGATCCAAGGGTACATCGAAAAAGGGTACATCGAGTTCTTAGGGTACATTGGTTCTGAGGGTACATGGGATCTTAGACTGTAAGGCGTTTCCGCCTAAGCCTACAATTTTGAGCAGAAATCAAAATAGTATGTATAAAAATATTGATTTACTTTTTTTGTCCACCTAC